TTTTTTCATCGTGTTTAGTTTGGAAAGAAACCATTTTTTGCTTGCATGTTTTCATCATGGCATCATTTCATTGGATAAGAAAGAATATTTTTATTGAGCTCGTTGAATTTGTTTCGATTCATAGTTGATAAGCAAAATGAATTATATGGTTATACATAACAAAAATTGAAGATAAACTTCAAATAATTTATTTAAAAAAACAAAAACATAGAAGACATTTAATATCATCACCTTGAAGTTCCTTCGAAATCGTATATCATCTATATATAAGAAAAATATTACGATCGGTCCAATAATAACGAAAATAACAGATTGCACGTTCGCGTGACGCAGTGTCCACCCGGTATACTCTCTTATACCTGTCTCCTAAATTTAAGTTATTATTTTTGAAAGGTACGAACGTCTAGAATTTTTTAAAAAAGAACCTAGAATATTAAATTAGTATTGAACGGTCGAATACGATTATATTTTAATAACGCCACGATTTACCCGAAGTCTGTGCCATCAAAGCCGCGGAGCTCTTTCCGGGTTACCTAATATTTATGACGGGATCTAATACATTCTTCGATCATTCCCGCATAATCAGCCACGGAGAGCGGAAGTAATCGTATTCCATAATAAATAGTTGTCATGAAAGAGTAAAGCTCCGCGAACGGCGGACCACTTTTCAATCGTCCCTACCGCCGCGTCAGACGTTATTCCGTTTGAAGGGTAAATTTCATCGGGGTCTGAAGCATAAATTTTATCCGACGTCTGAGGCATAAATTTCGGCGAGGTCTGTATTCGGTCTGTATTCCGCCGCCGTCGATCCTGGTATCCTAGAACTTAACCTCATTCCCTCAACCTATATCGAAGCTCTCTATCTCTCTCTCTCTCTCCCTCTTTCGTTTATTTTCGTTCGACTTTCCAGACACGCAGGGTCCCGCGGCGTTCCGTGGCGTCCTACGGGACATCGAAGCTGTTTGTTGGTCCTCAAAGCCTTTATCGCGTGCTACGCGATCCCACCTTATATCCGCTCGTGATAAATATTCTTCCGTGAAATAAACCTGAGCTGACCAGTTCTGCTTATATCTGCTCCACGGATTAATCCTTTTTACCGCGAAAGATTTAAACGTGAACAGTGGGTAGCGGACAGCAGAGTATCGGATTATGGGGTGGAAATTGTAATCGTATAAAATTTTATTCGTTAATCACGAATAAATCTTGGGACTTTGTTCGTTATTCGAAACAAAATTTGCTCCAACTTTGGCAGACGATAATTAACCCTCCATGATACTCGTTATTCTTACTGCTCCCATCACTCCCCTGGGTTTTTTATGTCTAGATGTATTTTGTTTTGTCTTATAGGCTTCCAAAACAAATTTAGAGATACTTCCCAAGGTCTCTACCACAGGATCCAATAGTTTTCGAAGTTGAATGTGAAAAGGTTTTTTTTTAATAACAACTTTGCTTCTACCATAAAAGACCCAGGGGAGTCACGGAGGGTTAACGATATGGATAGCAAACTTTTTCGTCGGGTTTTCTATCCTAGAAATTCGCACCTGCAACCGGTTGCATGGAACGGTTGTCACGCATCATTTGTTTATTAGCTTCTAATACTTTCTCGTCGTTATAAAACTGTTGCAACTCAACACAGATAGGCGATGGTCGTAACGCTCGTCGCGTCTTAGGCTGTCGACACGATCACCAAACCGTCATAAACAGGGATTCCTGGACAGTTGCACATCACATGCAAAATATTCGCGGTCCTCAACCTTACCGTACACAAAACATTTGAAAAATATAGGTTTTATTTAACTCTTTGAGGCACACGATTTTAAAGAAAATAAAAACCCTAATTGCACAGAATTTTTTTTAATATAAAAAAAATTATATAAAAAGAAAATATTAAACTGTATGACCATGAGTAACTTCAACTTTTCGAGGTGGGTTGAAATATATCCCACTATGCATAAAAAGCTAAGCAAAAGGTGGGACAGTTCTAAACCCACCTAACCCTAAAGAGTTAAAGGGCTGCATCTTTGTTAAACAAGATCGTTCTTTGATGAGGTTTGCTTTATTTTAAAGACAAACGATCATACTTTCCGGTGGTATGTATCAAAATTGCGAAAAAATATTGTTTGTAAAAGTACAGTTTGGCACACTCCTATTTGAGGGTGAATTTTACCTTTTAGACAACCATTTTGATAAAATTGATTTAAAGAAACAAAAACTAGAACGTTCGAACTTTAAAATGGTTTTTGTTTCATCAACTTTGGCTGAATAGTAACAAAGTTATGAGAGTTTGAAGAGTGAGTAAATTTTAAAATAGTTTTCGCCAGCTTTTCGGGTCAAATACCCCACTGAGCGCTCGTCGCGTCTTGGGCCGTCGACACGATCACCAAACCGTCATAAATAGGGATTCCTGGACAGCTGCACATCACGTGCAAAACATTCGCGGTCCTTAAAACCGTTCCTTATATTTCGGCGCTGACTTCCAGGAATCTAAGAAGCAATACATACACCAAACCCCACTTCTTCAACTCATACTACCACCTTTTGAACCACCTACACCAACAAAAATTCTGCATTTTCTACCAATCATGAGTCGATCCATTCCAGTAAGCATCTATACATTCACTCATTCACAAGAACACATTTAACCGTCAACAAGAACACATTGATCAGTCAGAATACAACCAGTACATACAGTGAGTGTAAAAAGTATTCGTACACCCTTTAAAATGGAACAACTCTTTTAAAATTGGTCCAAATGAATTGAGTTTTTTTTTTAAGTTAGAGACATTAATTTACTAAATGATGTGAAAAAAAAATTTGAAAAAGTTGCAATTGGTCCGAATCGCGAAGAAAATATTAAAGGTCGTGTTTTACAACTTTTTAATCTGAGGCTATAATGAAAATTTAATAAATACATATCGAAGATTTATGTTAGTTATATACATGTTGAAAATTTCATCAAAATGGTTAACGTTGCTACGAGATACAAGCGATTAAAAATTATTTCGTTCTATGTCGTCTAGTTTTCAATATAGCTTTCATCATTATAATGGTCTAAATATTACATATTACATATTAACATAGCCATCATTTATAATGGTCTAAAAGTGATATTAAGTTCATATTTTTAAAACAGTGGAAAGCCTATCATATAAAGGAATTAATGTAAAGTTCTGAATTTCTAGATATTGAGATTTGTCTTAAATTCATTCAATAGATGGAAGGTAGCAATTGTTTCTTGCGCAATTCTTACCAAACGATTCCAAAGTTACAAGGTTTTCGAATCTATGATTTGCTCTTCTCTAAAATTTGAAAACTGTAACTTAATACAGTTACTATTCTGGGGTCCAGATATAGATTTCGTTGAATATTTTCAACGCTATTAAATATTAGACAAATAATTTAAATTTCAGAATTGAGTGTCTTTAACCGACGAATGGATCTATATAAACAGTTAAAAGCATTCGTTTGTTTCAACATTTTCTTACAAAAGTACAGTGTTTTCGTAAAATATCGATCGATTTTTGAACAAATTTGTAAGTGTAAACGAACTATAGATGGTAATGTAAAACATGGATAAATTCGATTTTGTATTTTTTGTATTATTGTGAATTTCTTGAGCACGTATAACATATTTTACATATTTAATCAATGTTGAAGTACGAAATAGTTATTATAATGTGCCTTACCGTAAATCTTTATTTAATAAATTTCCTTCTTCCGAATGGTGGTTTTGAGCACCATTAGCTTGATACACACTAATTCATCAAATCTTATGTACCAACGTTTACGCAACTGTCTACAGTAATGTCTCGATGAGTGCAACGAACTCTGGCCCGCTTCGAAGCATTCGTGGCAAGGCGGAAAGGTTTTCAACCGTTCATAAATTTGTTTTTTGCACAATGCCGAGTCTTTGCTTAGTTTCTGTTTGCTCTGTTTTGATTGGTTCCAGAATCACTGTATACCGTCATTTAATCGTCCATTGGATTAATTTCCGTGATTCCATTGAATTTTTCGGAGAAATTTATAAAATAAATATTACCGTACGAACATCCTCGCCTTTCAAGTAACTTCTCATGAAATATATCCCCGTACTTGACTCGATTCCCGACGTAAAAGAGTAGATACACGATATAAATCTCTGAATTCCCAAGGATCTCACGGCGTGTGTGTCTCCAGCCCATATTCCGTTCGCATCATAGGTTTTACAGTACGTGTATGTCACACAGGATTCGAACTATTGGATTACAACAAGGAACATCTGTATGGACGTCAGAACAGACAATATATCCTTCTCCGAAGGAGCACTCTAGATACTCCTGAGTTTCAGCAGGCTGCGCAATTTTTCTTCTTTTTTTCTCTTTAAAGAATCTCTCTCTCTCTCTCTCTCTCTCTCTCTCTCTCTCTTCAGTGTTTTCTATCATCGCGTTAGACGTGGCTTTTGTTTCTTTTGGTTGAAACTCAAGAGAGAATATTTTTACGCTCTGAGAGTCGAGCGTCGACTGCAGATAACAGTTATTAGCAACGTTTCTCGAAACGGTTGCTTCTTCCATGAACATTGAAACGTTTAAAATTCTCTCGTTGCCACGGAAATTGATTTTGTAATTTCATCCGCAATTGATACTGTTGAGAATTGTTTTGTTGAGAATTGACAATACTTGAGAATTGTCGATTTTATGCAGACCGATGGAATTTTGTTATCGCTTTAACGTTCGACAGCGTGACGTTCTTGTAATTTTTATTTAACAAATGCGTTGGCTTCAATCATACTCGAATTGCACGGTAATCGAAATCAATTGTTACGATGATGTGAACGAAAAATAGATGAGGTTGTTGGATCGTGTTTTCCAAAATATAAATTCAATGTATAGTATTTTAAATACCGAACGGTAATGAGGACGCGCGTTAAATGGTGTTTGTAACGAACTGATTGAAGGCTTGATAATGACTTTTAACAATACGACAATTCGCATGATATTAATAATCGTGTTCTTATTTTTCAGGAGCAAGTGAACACCCGCTGGGTAAGTTTCAATTATAAATTAGTTTATCATAATTTAAACCTTAAATAAGTAATAAATTATTAGTTGTCTATATGCCTTTTATTATGCGAGTTTTCTTGATATTTGTTTATACTTCTACAGGCAAAAAAAAATTGTGCACTTTACTAATCATATAGAATTTCATTCACTTAATGCTTCAACTGAAACATTGTTATTGTAATAGTAATTTTTTTTCATTTTGCAACCACTAAGTATGTGCACTTGGTTTTATTTAAAATTATATATAACTGTTAGATATATTGTGTCCAAGGTCATCTAAAGGTCATTCCTCAGGTATTCTCGAATGCACGTGTTCATCTGCTACAAGATACAATAGAAAGAAATAACATACGCTTTCGAGTTCAAAAATAGCGGTGATTTTGAAAAAACATAGAAAAAGGATCTTAAAAGAAATCTTGTTTTTCGCAGTATTTTCCTTTCAAAACCATTGAAATTGTTCTTTGACCATTTCTCATATCAAAAATGAAAGGAGATATTCAGGTGGCCTCTTTCAACTGGGACATCCTGTATATTTCTGGACATAAGATTTAAAGGTGAAGTTGATAACTTAGATCAGGGTGTCTCAAAGTCACTGCTAGTTATCGTAGTGACTAATGTCGAATTATACGCGATAGACAACGCGAGACAGTGGATTAGGATAAACGTACAGTCATCAAAGAACGTTGACTTGTCAATCTTTTATACTACTCGAACGATATCGTAATAAATTAACAAAGAATGTACACATTTTATATGTTGACCTGTACATTTCGTGTTTGAATGGTTATTCCGTATCTAATTATAATTACGAGCCTCTGAAGGTTACTGTTTAGAAGTCGAATGTGTTTTCATATAATTCAATAGCACCGGTCCCTGGTAACCATCATATCATTCAGAGATGGGCGAATTCGTTATCTAGATAAAATGTTTCGAATAACAAATAAAAGATTCAAAAAATACACTTTGCCAGTTTGAATTAATTAAACTTGGAAATTCTAGATTTTATAATAATACTTTTTCTTGAATACGTAGACACTTGAAAAACAATTATTTAATCTCATTAACATTTTGACTGTGACATCACCCAAAAGCACGTACATTGCAAAGAGGCTGGATTATTTAAACACTGCTACGAAATTTTGCGTAAAATTAATATCACAGTATAATTTAAAACAAGACCAACAACTTCTATTAACTAAACGCATATATCTTCGACGATTTATGACTCAAACCGCAAAATAAAGCGTCTAGCTACGTACTGATTTTTTCACTGTGGTAGTCAACCTGTTAAGGGGTTACATATGTACTTTTGAGCTGTAAAACAAGAGGGATAATTCAAATTTTGTTGTACATGCAGAAATATTGTTTATTAAGAATTCAATATATGCATCTTGTTATATGATATTTCCTTAGTAATTTCTGATAAATTGACCTATACATCTATCAACAGAAGAAAATAACTTCTATTTAAAAGCGTGTTACTCGAAATGCATTTCTCAAAATCGGTACACGGAATATTTAAAAAACAACTGAACCAATTTGAATAAACTTTGTGGTAATATTCTTAAAACTAATGTCTAGTAATAAACGAAGCGAATTTTAGATTCGTGAATTCTTTATTTGTTTTGGTAATAAAAAAGTTGAAACTTTATGTCCGAAACTACAAGTTTAAGTTTAAACAGTCGCCATTTTGTAAAATAATGATATTCTGAAAATCAGCTTCAATAAGTACAAGTTCCTTTTGTGTACTTTAATATGAATATAAAAAAACTTGTTTCAGATAAATGCCCACAAAGATATATCTAGTACCACAGATGGTGTTTGGATGAAATGGGTTATAATTAACCCTTTGCGGACGGAACGGTTCAAAGCTGATAGCTTTGTAGAGCAATAATACACACATAGTTACAGTACATGCATCCATACATTTATAGTTTACGCTGGATGCATATATGTGTCGATCGTTCGCAAAGGGTCAAATAACAGCCATTTTCTTCTGTTGATAAATATTGTATATAGCTCAATTTTTCAGAAATTAAGCACTAAGGAAATAACATATAACGAAATGTATATATTAAATTTTTAATATACAATAATTTTGCATGTACAACATTGTTTTTTAATTTTCCCTCTTATTTAACAACTCAAAGGTATGTAACCTCTTACTTGTTTCAGGATGAGGATCTTAAATACTGCTGATTTTCATTATACAATTTCATTTCACAGTTTGAAAGATTTTCGCTGTTCGAATAAAATTCCGCCCAACTCTGACGGCAGTGAACATGGTAACAAAGGTAGCTTCTACCAGAGCAATCTACACAATAGTCGTATCTCGGACCATGATTCCTGCAGCATTGTTTTGTCGGAACCGCATAGATTCTTGACCCTCGTTGCTGAAGTGTGTTTCCACAGGGTAGGTCGTGTCTTCCGTGGCTGTTATTCGATCCGCCAGAGACAACAGTGTTAAATGTTCATCCACGGATGTACTCGAGCCTCTGTGCTTTTCGGTCACTGCATAACGGAAATCTCGAATTCTGCATTACGTCCGGCGTTTGGCTGTTATACTACGCCAACATGCTACATCACACGGCGCGTCGGGCACGCGGAGGATAACACGGAAGTCAATAATATCATCCGACCGGCCGGAGACGTTCAACGATCGTATATATGTACATAGTAGAGTCATTCCACGCGAAATCGGACACTCTTTGGAGTATCATTTCGGATTTTGTTGAAACTTGGATATGTTACAGTATTTAATTGTATATAAACGTATCTCGAAGAATTTCTGAAAATGTTAATAATTGTTGATTTTACAGCTTTTTGAAGTGTAGTGTCAATATTTCTTCAATAAATTCTAACCGTTGAACTAACAAGCTGATCAAAATCAGCTTTATAGGTGCTTACAGTGGAAACATAAATGAACTTAGAGATAAATGGTTAAAAAATATTTTTTTTTTAAACTGAAATTTTTTATCAGGTTTTCTTATGTCTCCACTGTAAGCACTCACAAAATTTATTTAGATAAGTTTGTTAGTTCATTAGCCGGCCGATTGGGCCAGTGCAATTCTATGCAGCGTTAACTGCAATTAATTTTCATATGATGACCAATTTTTAAATGTCTATACTTTTAAAATTTGTCCATAAAGAGGACAAATAGGACTATATCTTCATTTTTTTCAAATTTTTCAATTAGGTCCTACTTTGATGAAATTGCATTTTTTCAAAACAGTTGCAAAATAAATGGTTAACAAATTTTTTTTTGTAACTGAAATAATTTTTATTAGGTACTCCTTATGTTTCCACTATGAGCACTCACAAAGTTCACTTTGATCAGTTTGTTAGTTGAACAGTTATGATTTATTGAAGAAACGTTGGCACAATATTTCAAACTGTGAAATCAACAATTTAAAAAATATGGGAACATCCTCCAAGATACGTTCATATGTCACCAAAGACTACAACATATCCAAGTTTCAACAGTAATGTTACTCTAAGAAGTGTCCGTTTTTACGTGGAATGACCTTACACCGAGTGAAAATACTGAATTTTCCGTCGCAACTTTGTGGTTACGTCGTCGGTTCTTTTGCTTTCATTTTCTTTTACCTCTTTCTTTCTTTCTTTTAATTCTCCCTTCTATCGCCATTATCTTTCCAATAACGCGGAGCGGACTAAAGGTACGGTGGCGGGGACGGCCGCAAGATCCAACATTAACGGGAATCGATAATTACTTTTCGGAGCCATCTTAAATTCCCTTCGCCTTAGTCCAACCCATCCACCGCCCACGATAAACCGTGCTAACGCGATAACCGAGTTACCACTGTCACTCGAATTTTCCGCTCTCTCATTAGCGCTTTTAATTGCCGGTCTAATATTGATCGTCACCAGAAACGAAGTTGCCGTTCTTCGATCTAAATATGAACACACCTTCCGAGCCAGCTGGGAAATGACGCGCGAAGGCTATTAACGCGGACGAACCGAGTGAATAACGGGGTACGGTTCTGTTGAGATTATTCCATGTTTCCGGACGCAAAATGATCTCTGTTAAGCGGTAGCTTTCTGTACATGAATCAGACTCTTGATACAGTAATGTCTCGATGAGTGCGTCGTACTCGGGTCCGTTTCGGAGCATTCATTGAAAGGCGGAAACGTTTTCAGCCCCTCATAAATTTATTTTTTCCCCGAAGGCGAGCCTCTGCTTGTATACCAACAAATCTTGGGCCATCCACCCAGAAATCAAATTCACACACGCTATTGCATTGTGCAACTCGTATTTTCTTACAAGGCTTTTCTTAAACACATCATATAATCCGCCGGTTGGAATATTGATGATCTCTTATAACGATGTACACTTAGTAATGTATGCTGTCTGCACATGTAACTTTATAAATATAAGTAGGCATTCATAAAAAAAAAGTCTCTGTTTAGCTTTCGTTTACTCTGTTTTGATTGATTCCAGGAGGGACACTCATAGTTGTAGGAATAACGCCGTTGCTAGTGTCGCATTCATCGAAGGATCACTGTAGTTGGTGATCCGATTTATCGTTTGGTGCAGACTTTTCTCGTTTGTGGCGCACGCAAGCGTACAGAATGTCTGATCAAAATGTTTAGGGACTTTGTATATAAATCATTTATTATTGATCAGTTAGTATGCAGGGTGTCCCAAAATAGGTGTAACTCCTTGAAAGGAGTGATTCCTGGGGTGATTTGAAACAACTTTTTCCTTAGCGAAAAAGTTCTCCGAGGCTTTGTTAACGAGATATTAACGAAAAACACCGACCAATCAGAGCGCGATTCTGCCAGCTGAGCTACCGCGGTGGCACGTAGCTATACAACGTTACCGCAGGAACTCAGCCGGCAGACTCGCGCTCTGATCGGTCGGGGTTTTTCGTTAATATCTCGTTAACAAAGCCTCGGACAATTTTTTCGCTGAGGGAAAAGTTGTTTCAAATCAACCCAGGAATCACCTAAAGGTCAAGGAC